ACAGACAATTCAACATCCATTATTGTTTCTGATTTGCACACAATTCAAATTGGACCCTTTGTTGGACTTGTTGGACCATATTTCATTTTGAAAAAATTAAAGTTGTTGCCTGAATGTTGGTTGTTTGCTGTTTTTGAAAATTAAATCTGTTGGTTGTTGCAATGTAGCCGTTGGGGGAGAGATGACAACCAAAAAATGGGCCCACATATGAATTCTGGTCCAGCAAGTATTGTAACGTGCAAGTGAGTTTCATTTACTCACCCTAAACCCAAAATTTATTTATTTATTTATTTTTTTCTTCATTCCATCTCATCTCTTTGTTCTCAGACATGGAGTCTCAAGGTAAGCACTTTTTCTTTCACTCTTTCTTGGTGGCTTCTACAGCAAGAGGAATTTTTAAATGGAGTCAGAATTCAATGGAATACAAAATTTATAAGCTTTCACTCTCTCTTGGTGTGTAATTCGCTTTTGAATTCAATGGAATACATAATTAATTCACCTAACTTCTTCCAAAATATTCTTAAGGTGTTGGGCTTTAGATTCATGCTATCAATGGTAGTACCTCATTGATTTTTGTTAATTTTCAAAAGAAATTCTTTCATTTTTGTCTTAACTTGAACTTTAATACACATTCTTTTTGGTGAATTTGTATGGAAGTTCTAGGTATGTTGTTTATCTTCATATTGGTAGTATTTTGATGAGTCAGTTGTTCTTCTACGTTGTTATTGTGTTTGTTTGGATGGATATGTTTCTGTCACATGAATACTTCTGCATATTCAATCTTGTGTCTTATTCAGATTACTTAGATGCGTTTAATGATCTGGTTCTTCAATGCTATGTTTGTGAATTATCCTATGTAACATGTTAGGCTTATTTGATGTTATCTTTGATACTCTCAAAATAAAGTCTTGCACTTTCATTGGGTGAATTTTTTAAAGAAACAATCTATAACTTTCTATTGAAATGCTAAAAATTGTTCATCTCCATGTGTTGCTTAACAGTGCTGAAGTTGAACCATACATCAAGTAAGTTTGATAACCATATAACAACCCTTTATAGGTTTTGCAGTCATTAGTAACTTATAATATTAATCACTACCGGCTTCCTATTAGGATGCATAAGAATGAGTTACTGCTTTCAAATCGAACACTTCCATGAGTTACTGCATACATAATGGTTTATGTAAATTCGAAAGAGATCCTCTCATTTCAGCATCTCATGCAAAGCAAGCCTTCTACTTTGGAGAAAGTGAAACCTCACATTGATATACAGTACCAAATGCACCACCAAGAGACTTTCATAACTTTGAGGAATTTGATAAAAGTGTTTATAAATCATATGCTCCACAAGATGCATCTTCCCTTAACATAGATGATATGTTCAATGCTGATAATTAATTGTTTATATTCCATATATGAAATTAGTTTATTTTCTTATTAGTTTATTTTTTTATTTTATTTATTAAAGTAAGATCCTTGCTTTTTTTTTCCTGCTTTTAAGTTGTAATTCTATCAATTGCAATTACAATTAATTTTTTTAGTTAGAATGTGCTAATACTATTTTCTATTGAACTTATTGTGCTGACATGTTCTTTGTTGTTTTGATTGTGTTGGTTTTCTCTTACCATCCTATTAATAATTAGAAAACTGAACATGTTATGTTACTTTTTTATTTATTTTAAAAATGGCAGATTTACACTTAAGATGGCATATTTTGTTAGAGGGAAGGAAAGACCTAGATGTGACTTGAGAGAAGGAGTTTGTTCTTCTAGAATAGTTGATGAGTGTTCTGAATCTACACCTCGGGAAGAAACTATTCTCCATTCTATGAACAAGGAAAAGAAGAAGAAAATAGGTAAAACAACATTGGAAGTTATTCCAACGGGAGAAAAATATCGCCAGAAAGTTGAGAGGAACGAATCTGGGCAACCTGTTGGTGAAGTCTCGGTAAGGTTTAGTACAAACCTTGGGATTATAGTAAGGGAGTGTGTGCTCATAAACATAGAGTCATGGGACCAAGTGACACCCTCTATCAAAAATCGAGCTTGGACTTTCCTGATGGTTATATAAGTCTTTCTTAATGTACATTTAGGTTATGAGGGATTTGGATTTGACACTACAACAAAAATTCATAGTGGAAGATTGTCATAAGAATTTTATCTTGTGAGTGATGGATAAGAATTTTATATAAATATTAGATTTTTTTTTTAAAAAAAAAAAACTTCAACGGTGTCTGACATTGTGTCATAAAAAATATACAAATTTATAAATAAACCCAATCCTAGACATGTATTTATAAAAAAACCCAAGCACTATTTAAACATAGAAACACACCCAAAATCAACCCCAAAGTCAACTTTTTGGGTATGTTTATAAATGGGTTTTGAGTGTGTATAATAATGGGTTTTGGGTGTGTTTATATGTTTAAATAGTGCTTGGGTTTTTTTATAATTTCAACCCCCATTTTGGGTGTTTTAGTGAAACTCCCTAAAAAATATTTCAGTGATGTCTCATGAACGTCGTTACATTCAATGACATGGAGTCTGCATCATATAAAGTCCTAATATACAACATTAAATAGAACGTCATATTCTTCATGACGCTTAAGTAATGTCATCAAACCAACATTTTCCATTCAAGCCAATCAGTGGCTTGGTGGTGGCACACCTACGCAATCTAAAAGAAGAAGGACCAACAAGTCCTTCAATCGACCTACCCCTGCCTAAAAGAGGGAAACAAATTGGATTTTTGTTCTTTCCTAGGCCTTCAACCTCACCAATTTGAAGAGTAGAGGCTACCCTGATGAGGAATTGGGTGGGCAAGAGAAGAGTAGAACTACCCAAGAGTAAGGGAACTCAAAATTGGACTTTTAGAAACTGCATTGCAGTTTTCATTTAATTACAATTGGATTTTTGTTCTTTCCTTGGCCTTCAACCTCACCAATTTGAAGAATAGAGGCTACTCAGATGAGGAATTGGGTGGGCAAGAGAAGAGTAGAATTACCCAAGAGCAAGGGAACTCAAAATTGGATAAAATTGTCATCTTGGTTCCTCCATTTTGCTTCAATAAAATTAATTTTTGTTTTTGAAGCTATTTTCGTTTTTGTTTTTTTTTTTTTTTTTAACATAATTGATATCTACATTGTATTTTTGTTGCAGTTTTTCTATTTTTATTTGCAGTTTTTGTGTGAAAAAGTGTTGAAATGATTTTTTATTTATTTTAATAACCGTTGATTGTTTATATTAGTATTGTATAACTGAATTGTTGAAGGAAAATGTGAATCTCCCAACATAATTTCACCACCACTAATTAATTAATGGGGTTTTATTGTTTTAGGTTCGACATATTCGAGACTTAAGTCTCTTAATTACAATCCCTTACTACAAGGGAAAACTCTTTGATCCCATCATAAAGAAACAGAACGTGTGTTTGGTTTTGCGACTGCCTCGAACCTTAGGGTGCCTACGCATCCCTTGCGGGAATCAAGCCACTCGTAGTTCAAAGATTCGCAATGAATAGATGACTCATTGCAAAAGGAGGAATTTGAATGAATTTGATTGATGAGTGTTTGAGTGAATTTAGCTTAATAAACCAGGGATTCGATATGGAATTGTGTTTAAGATGGTTGCATCTAGATTGAATCTCTAGATTGCCTACGTACCCTTTCAAAGGGATCAAACCAACGTAGTTCGGAAATAATTTGTGTAAAAGGTAGATACTTGATTTTGGGGGAATATGGTTGATGTAACCAGTGATTCAAATTTGGATGTGGTTGCGTCTATTGAGATGTTAGACTGCCTACATACCCTTAACGTGATCAAACCGACATAGTTCCAAAATTTGGTAATTAATTAATAGGTAAGTGTGGCCCACTAATTGAGAATTTGTGTCTTTGGAACAACTTGAAGATTTCCATAGGTAGATGACCTATGGGAAAAATTGGAAATTAATGGGTAAGTGTGGCCCACTAATTGAGAATTTGTGTTTGAGAGATTTGAATTCAATCTCATTGAAATTTGCATGGGTAGATGACCCATGGGAAAAAAGTTTGGAATGGTTTTGTACCATTTTTTTCATTGTCAGTGTCAAAGAAAACTAATGGGCAATTTTGATAAACCCATTAATTTACTTTGATCATTAATACTGGATTTGTATCCAAGCATGAATTCGGGGACTTAAAAGACTTCATGAGTCTCTGTCCAAGTAAGGCTTGCACAGTGACAGTTGAGGATGAATCTTGGAGCGAACCATTAGTCGTTTTCAATTAGACTTGTAAGCAAAGCATGAGGCACTTCTGTTTTGCCTTGAGCTTTTATGCTTCTGGCGTCACTAACTTGGTTACTGTTTCTTCGATTATCAAATTTGGCTTCCATGCAGCTTAAGTCATTCTATCTGGCTAAGTGCCAACTTTTTGGATTGCAAGAGAAAGTGAGGGAGCTAGGATTATAAAGATCCTTTTGTGTGCCATAAAGGGCTTAGGAATCATATGAGCCACCCCTCTTTTATTGTCCTTTTGTTGTTGTTGCCATGT